TCGGCAGTTCAAGCTCACCAGCAGCTTCTTGGAAACCCTACACAGGATCACTATGGGTCAGAACTGACTCAACACACTTAACAACTTTACAAGTAAGGAGCTCTTGTAGCATAGTGGCTATGAGTCAGGCTGCTAACCTAAAGGTCAGCAGTTCCAAACTACAAGTGGTTCTGCAGGAAAAAGATGAGGTTTTCTGCTCCCATAAAATTTTATAGCCTTGGAAACTCTATGCAGGGTTGCTATGTGCTGGAACCAACTCCACAGCACACCACCACCACCACCACCACCACTTTAAAAGTGGTATGGAGGATAGAGTGAAGTGCAATGAGATGGAAGCTAGGTAATCAGACAGGAAATGATCTTAAAAAGCTGTGGCATAGAGACTGAGAATGAGAAATCTTTTCAATCTAGTTTTCCATTACAATTTTTTCTTTCACTCTAAAGAAGGTTACAGACTGATAGCCAAACAATCTCTAGTTGGCCTGCCTTATTGTTCCTCCTCCTTCACTCTCAAAGTTCATTTTCTCTTAGGCAAAGAATGGAGGTGTCAGGATTTTTTTGGGTGAGAAGGTCTTCATTTTACAGAAAATTAAGGCACAAAATTACTAAGCTTTTTCCCCCCAATAGCATAGAGCTCACTCCCAAATCTTCTGATTCCAGGTTCAGAGGATTATTTCTCCATTTTTCCCCCTGGTACAAATATTGAATAGTCCATGGGCTTCCAGAGTGAACAAATCTATTTTAGATGAATTACAGCTGGATTGCTCTTTGGAAGCAATGATAGCAAGACTTTACCTCATGTACTTCGGACATGTTATCAGGAGGGACCAGTCCCTGGAGAAAGATATCATGCTTGGTAAAATGGAGAGTCAACGAAAAAGAGGAAAAGCATCAACAAGGTGGATTGCCCCAATGGCAGCAACGATGGGCTCAAACAGAACAATGGTGAGGATGGCACTGGATCTGATAGGGCTTCATTCTGTATTGGGTTGCTATGAGTTGGAATTTACTTGATGGCACCTACAGTTCCTACTGGAGACCTGGGCGGTGCTGTGAGATAATGCACTGGACTGCAAGGTCGGTTTGAATTGCAAGGTCAGCAGTTCATATTCACCAGCTGCTCCTCCGTAACCCTACGTAGGGTTGCTTCACTATGAGTTGAAACTGACTTGATGACATTAACTGCAGCACCTAATGGGAGTGTGGTGACTCCATATGATAAACACTGGACTATGAATCACAAGGTCCATAGCTCGAGCCCGCCAACCACTCTGCAGGAGAAAGATGAGGTTTTCTGCTCCCATGAAGGTTTAAAGCCTTGGAAACCCTATAGAGTCATTGTGAGTCTCAACCAACTCAAGGGCACTTATCACACACTTAACACCATCCTAAATATCCAACTAGGTAGAATTCAGATCTCAATTTATCACACACTTAACACCATCCTAAATATCCAACTAGGTAGAATTCAGATCTCAACTCCACAGTGAAGGCTAGGAAGGAAGTTGTGTATGTATTTCTGACCTTTCTCCCCAATTTGACTGTTCATAAAATCTCAATTCTGGCCACAACTAGTCTAAGACAGGGTTTCCCAACCTTGGCACAACAATTTAGGGCTAGGTACTTCTTTGTGGGACTGTTTTATGCATTGTAGGATGTTTAGCAGCAGCCTTGACATCTACTCTTCAGATGCCAGTAGCTATTTCCAGTTGTGAGAACCAGAAATGAACACTGGATGGCCAAGTCACTGCCAGATGAGAACCACTAGTCTAAGAGGTGAGCATTGCTAAGTGTGACCAGCATGACTGCTGTCACAGGGATCAACCTCAATGAAGATTCCTCTATGCAGCTTTGATGCCAAATGTCAGGGGTGTCACGGTTCTAAGTAGGTATTAACTCCAGTCTCATTACCTGTACAATTTCAACTGATTGCATTTATTCCACTTTTAATGAGCACAGTCCACCCTGTAGCTCCAACTCTGCCTCCTGGGTCCCGAACCATTATACCAGTTAAAAGACTTTCCTGTCTCTTGCAAACAGGGAAGGAAAAATGAATTTGTAGTAAATTAAAGACTATAAATATTTTGACACTGCTCCCATCAATAACTGATTGCCTTATATCTGGGCTGACCTGTGACCTTTTTGACCAATGGCATATGTCAGAAGTGTCTTTATGCCAGTTCTGAACCTAACTTTTAAGAGACCAGGTAACTTCCACTTGGCCTATTCAGATCCATTATCCCAGCCAAGAAATCTACCTTTTTTTTACTGGAGAGACCATATAGAGAAGACCCTAAGATTGGAGGTAGGAGGGTCAAGCTGAGCCTGACTTTCCATCCTTGCCAAAGCACCAAGCTTTGAGTAAAGTTGCCTTTGGGTTCACATAGTAACCTGGCAGCTAGTTGAATAACACCATGGGAAGTCAACTGATGCCTTGTGGAGCTTAAGAATTGCTCAGCCAAATTTTCCCTGAATTCCAATTTTTGTAATCATGAGATATAGTGAAATTTGCAAAAGCCTGAATTTAAAGGGACTGCCTTTTTTTGTTGTTCTCCCAACAACAAAAGTTCTTTTTTGCCTTTGACAATGTGCAGTCTTAACACTTTTTTATTGCTCATTATTAATGGAAAATATTTGTGTTTCCCTTGTCTTACAGGTTTATGCCTTACCGGATTTTGAATTTCACATAACAACTGTATAATAAAAGGGCATGGTTATGGATTGAATTGTGACCCCCAACAATGTGTTTTGTAAATCCGACTATACTGTGGTTATAATACCATTGGGAACAGGGCTTTTGTTATGTTAATGAACCAGTATTATTGTAGAGTGTGCTTTAAATTGCCATCTTTTGAGGTATAAAAGAACAGATTATGCAAGCAGCACAGGAATTGAGAGGCACTGAAGTAGTTTGTAACATAGCAATAAATAATCAAAAGAGATCTTACACTGGATGATCAGAGCTCAACCAGGAGAAGAAAGAAAAGGAAAAAAAAAGAGTGATCTGATACAATCTGATGAACTTGACCTACAACTACAGATGCAGTTGACTCAAAAGAAGGAACAAATCCTTACAGCAAGACATTCCCACCCCCTCCACACACAGAGTAGATAGAGATGGGCAACTTGGACACTGGATACCCAAATGGGGGAACCTAGAGCTAGGGGGCATGGAGGAAGGCAGAATCTCCAGTGAGTACTATCCAATATGTCTAGGCAGAGCTGATGAAATGAAATACAGATGGGTAACTCGCGATACTGTAGTGAATAATGGTTATCAGGACTGATTATGAGGGTTGGAAATGCAAAGGTAGACATTTTGTAGCAAGGAAGGGAGTGATTAATTCTCCAGTCTAGGAGCGGAGGTCTCTAGGACCATCAACGGAGAAGATCCGAGAGTGGGACCCTACCCAGAGAAGCAGAGATGCCTGAGATGGTGGAGTGATGATGTGGCTGGGGACTTTGGATCCAGAGAGGGAGAGGGACTGTGGGCTGAAGACTGGTGTGTGTGTGTGTGTGTGTGTGTGTGTGTGTGTGTGTGTGTGTAAGGGGCGGGCATGGAGGGGATTGGAACCATGGCAGTGAAATGATATATGCTGGAATGAACATAAAACTAAAGTTCTCTCATGTAAACTATCATATAATTCACAATAAAACATTTTAAAAAATTACCATTTGATACTTAAAAAAAAAGAGATCTTACAGAAGAAATTTTATACCATGATTTCCAATGAAAAAAGTTGATTTTAGCTCTAGTCCAATAACCTAAATTTCTCTAAAAGGAAATTAAGCCTCCTTTTCCTTTGCAATGTTGTTGTTGAGTGCAGTTGAGTTGGTTCCAACTCGTATTGATCCTGTATAGGGTTTTCGAGGAACAATTGGTGGGTTTGAACTAGTGATCTTGTGGTTAGCAGTCTAGTGCTTATCCTACAGCACCATTCTTTCACAATGTTGTTGTTAAGTGCTGTCGAGTCGGTTCTGACCCATAGCAACCT